AAACCCTAAACCCTAAGCCCCAAACCCTAAACCCCAAACCCTAAACCCTAAACCCTAAACTAAAGCAGGTTTCCTCTCACGCCCAGGTGCTCAAGTCCATCAGGCTTCAGTGGCATCCCGACAAGTGCCATCGGCATGACAAGCTCATTCTAGGGGGGATTTTAGACTAGCTTGTCAATTTCTATGGGTCCCAACCCCTACATAACCCCTAATAAGAACCCATAGAAATGCAATTCTTGTAGGGTCCCCAAATCCCCCCTGGTCTTGCGCACTCACAACGGATGTTGGAGCGCATTGGCAAGGGTTTAGGGTTTAGGGTTTAGGGTTTAGGGTTTAGGGTTTAGGGTTTAGGGTTTAGGGTTTAGGGTTCTCAGCGCCAACTCGCCAGGAATCCTGACCAGTCGGCCGTAGCCACCCGGGTCTTTCAATTCGTGCAGGCCCCCCGTTGCATGGGTTCCCCTACTCTGCTAACCCCCCATAGGTTCCCCCTTAAATAACATGAATTAGGCTTAAGCATCCCAAAATTGCTTAATTACGGGGGGAAACTGGGCGGGGGGGGGGGGTAGGGGGGGTGGCCCTAAACCCCAAGGAAGCCCTCTAGTATAGAGGGGGTAGTAGGGGAGCCCATGATTCTTTGCAGAGCAGCTAACCCTAAATTTAAGAGCCTCCGGCTCAAGCCGCCGACCCCGCTGGAGCATAGTTGAGAGGTCTAAACGCTCGCATCGTTCGGTGAAAGGATGCCGGGGTTGGTGGGGGGGGGGGGGGGGGGGGGGGGGGGGGGGGGGGGGGGGGGGGGGGGGGGGGGGGGGGGGGGGGGGGGGGGTGGGGTTGGGGGGGGGGGGGGGGGGGGGGGGGGGGGGGGGGGGGGGGGGGGGGGGGGGGGGGGGGGGGGGGGGGGGGGGGGGGGGGGGTGCCGAAAACGCTGATTTTGCTGAGGGCGCCCCTACCCCCCTGTGCTGAACCGCCTGTTTACGCTGTGCGGGTGGCGCCGTCCTCCACGAAAAAATTGTGCACCGACCCCCCCCACCCCCGCGTTTTGGGGGCTTAAGGAGGGAAAGAGGGAGGTTCCGCGGACCCTAAACCCTAAACCCTAAACCCTAAACCCTAAACCCTAAACCCTAAACCCTAAACCCTAAACCCTAAACCCTAAACCCTAAACCCTAAACCCTAAACCCTAAACCCTAAACCCAAACCCCAAACCCCAGACCCTAGACCCTAGACCCTAAACCCTAAACCCTAAACCCTAAACCCTGAACCCTGAACCCTAAACCCTAAACCCCACTCACAGTCGCATTCAGACGCGGAATTGCCAGGCTCATGACCACTGGCTGGCACACCACGGCCTGAGCTGACAGCTGTGGAGAAAGGAACGCCGAAGGTGGGTTTAGGGTTTAGGGTTTAGGGTTTAGGGGTTTAGGGTTGATTCTGGGCCGTGTTGTGGTTCCACGGTCCTCCGTGGCTGATGTAAGGCGTTGCGCTCGATCATGTGATCATACTTTCTGGATCGGCAGTCCATTTAGTCACTTAGTCTGCCTCATGTACAGTACCACCCAGGGCCTTAAATGCTAAAACTGCAACAATATAATAAAATACGCGACGTCTTCTACGTAAGAAGTCATGCAGCCCAACTGCTTCACTTTTGATAGAAGTGTTGGTCCTAGCACGTGCGCGCGCTGTTGCAACTTTCTCTGCCATGGCGACAGCGGAGGCTGCAGGGAGTAGACGGCGCTGGCAGCTTTTTTTCCTAAACCCTAAACCCTAAACCCTAACCCTAAACCCTAAACCCTAAACCAGACCTTGCCCTGCGTGAAAGGCGAATGCGCCGAATGCATCGAATGCACCTGAAGAATCCGAGGGTTCGCCAATCGTGCTCGAGTCGCTCGGTAGCATCCCGAACCTACACCAGGCCCTCAGCATCTCTAAGCCTAAACCCTAAACCCTAAACCCTAAACCCTAAACCCTAAACCCTAAACCCTAAACCCTAAACCCTAAACCCTAAACCCTAAACCCTAAACCCTAAACCCTAAACCCTAAACCCAACTTTAGAGTAAGGCTGAAGAAGCTCGATGACCAGATGCTTGCAGTTCAGAAGGAGTGAAGTGAGCTGGCCGGAGCTGCGTCTGGTAGGGTTTAGGGTTTAGGGTTTAGGGTTTAGGGTTTAGGGTTTAGGGTTTAGGGTTTAGGGTTTAGGGTTTAGGGTTTAGGGTTTAGGGTTTAGGGTTTAGGGTTTAGGGTTTAGGGTTTAGGGTTTAGGGTTTAGGGTTTAGGGTGTAGGGTGTAGGGTGTAGGGTGTAGGGTGTAGGGTGTAGGGTGTAGGGTGTAGGGTGTAGGGTGTAGGGTGTAGGGTGTAGGGTGTAGGGTGTAGGGGTTAAGGTTTAGGGTGTAGGGGTTTAGGGTTTAGGGTTATGTCATAAGCTCTACGGTTGCAGGGGGTGATGTCGTTAGTTCTCAGCCATTTGCAACAACTCTCCAAAGTACTGGTCCTTTGTTTCCAGGTACTCGTAGAATATGGCTCTTTAGTATGATGGCATCCTCAAAAGGGACCCTGAACCCTGAACCCTAAACCCGGAACCCGAGACCCCTAAACCCCCTCCCCCCACAAGTTGGAGAACCCCCCTTCCCATGTATCAGGAGTACGAGAAGGAAGTGCAGAAGCTGAAGCGGCAGTTCCAGACACAGCAGGCTCCCTTTATCGAGGCCCGCGACAAGGCGCGGGGTTTGTTTCAGGGTTTAGGGTTTAGGGTTTAGGCTTTAGGCTTTAGGGTTTAGGGTTTAGGGTTTAGGGATTTTCATAGACCCGGTCTACAACGAAGTCCCTTGATAAACGAGACCCCAAATGCAGGAGAGCCCCATTGGAAGTACCAGTTGGGCCGAAGTCGGCAGCGTGTGTTTTTACCCAAAGCCTAAGCCCTAAACCCTAAACCCTAAACACTAGACCCTAAACCCTAAACCCGAAACCCCAGACCCTAAACCCTGAACCCTGAACCCGGATCCCTGAACCCTGAACCGTACCAAAAACCACCCTTTCCCACTTTTCGCGAGGTGCTTTCCGAGAAGGAGGGCAGCGAGGACCCAGGCACAGGAACGCCCGAGCCTGTGGGCTCTTGTAGGTGCAGCGAATTACCCGAACACGAATGCACGACTGGTGCCTGCTTCTTGGCATTGCTGAGGCCTGCGCTGAAAGGCTTTTGGGTTCAGGCCTGTCACGGGCGGGTTCAGTTGTCAAAGATGCCTCACCATGATGCCGGCTTCCTCCACACTTGCCGCGAGGCCCTCTTGAACCATCCAGCGCGACTTGGTGCAAAGGGAGCATTATCATCCAAACTCAGCTGGGTGGTTGTCAAAATTTGATCCCTTTTTGGGGACCCACAAAGGGACCCTGATTTTGACAACCACCTAAATGAACTTGAGACATTCGACAAGGTTCGAGGACGAGGTCGAGTCTTATGACATCCCTGTCCTGGAGTTTCTTCGGCCGCCGCCTAAGATTCCACGTGCTTTACCACTGTAACATACAAAGGTGAGTGCCCTGTCAAGCCAAAATCGGCTTCTCCGTGTGTAGGGGGCTGTGCTAACTTAGAGTCCCTGCAAGAAGGGCCCTTCGTAGCCTTTTTTAGCAAGCATGTGAGGGGCTGTACCAACATGTCTATGACTTCGACAAGTTAAAGCAGGCCTTTCGTAGTATAGGGGTCCGCGAAAGACTGGCGAAAGACACCACCCAAGACTTGGCACCTTGTGGGCGACAGTTCTGATTTCATGCTTTGCTGCGGGCCTGGCAAAAGTTCGTCTCAAGAGACTTCGCACTTTCGGCGAAGAACGTCAATTCCGCAAAAGGAACATCGGATAGCCACCGTGCCTTGATGTCAGGACGATTGAAGCAGAGGATCTGGACAAGGAGGATGCAGAAAAGGGATTTCGGACATGGCCTCAGGTGCTTTGTTCAGCAAGATCAGTTCGTCGCGCAGTCTGCTTTCAACCAAGACACCTTTCAGGCTGATTTTCCATTTTGCTGAGAACCCCTACTTCACAGACAGCGGCTCGACTTGGCAAGGTGAGCTTGCACAAGTCAACGGCATGCGGCATGCAAGCAGCTGAGGTTCTCTGTCACAAGAGACTCTTGGCCAAATGGAGCTCTACGAAAACAGGGGACCCCCCAATATAGATCCCCAAATAGTAGGATCCCTTATAATAAGGACCCCAATAAGGGACCCCCAATATCGTAAACCCCCCAAATAGCAAGAGACATGTCTTGGTGTTACACTTGCCACTTGACAATTGGAGCTCCCAAGTTTTCGTAAACCCTAAACCCTAAACCCTAAACCCTAAACCCTAAACCCTAAACCCTAAATCCTAAACCCTACACCCTAAACCCTAAACCGTGCTAGCTCAGGTACCATATGCATGAACCGAACCGCTACAACGGAGAGGTCAAGGTCCAAGAGCTCAAAGGCTGCACTGCAAACTGGAAGGCGGGTTTAGGGTTTGGGGTTTAGGGTTTAGGGTTTAGGGTTTGGGGTTTGGGGTTTGGGGTTTGGGGTGTAGGGTGTAGGGTTTACTGGGCGCTAGTATCATGATGTCCTCCTTCTTCGCAGCGTTTGCTCGTGTCATGCTTCGCGGACTGCGGCGGTACGGGCCCCTTCTCTGTTGTCTATTTAAAAGTTCGGTTTCTTATGTGCCCTGCCCCCGCGTATAATCTCTTTTGTGTCCGTCGGTCTTTTCACCTCAGCTTAGAAACCGAGGTTGAGGTGAGTCACCAAGGAAGCATGGTATCGTCCAGGATTATGCAACCGTAGACCCTAAGCCCTGAACCCTATGCCCCAAACTCTAAACCAAGCCTGAATAAACACCCAAACTCTTAGAGCGTTCGGTTTGGGATCCCCTCTCCCTGATGCTTCAGACATACCTCGTGAAACCTTTGCCTCGCAATCTAGGTAGGCGCTTGGGATGTTTCATAGTTTGCCTTGTTTCTTGGGTTTAAGAGGATCAACACTCTCCATATGAAACTCCAAGGATCCGTACACGGCTGTTTGAAGCCGTTTCTGAAAGGGGGGTTTACGATATTAGGGGTACCCTATTGGGGTCCTCACTATAAGGGGATCCTGGCTCTGCTATAGGGACCCCTTATTACTCCCAAATCGTCCACTGAGACAGACATGACTGCCCATGCCTATGCGCGAGTGCAGGCAGGGCAAGATGTCACGATGGGCAAGCCGGCAAAAGGCCGGGCAGCAAGTAAGTTGTTGAGAGAGAGGGTTACTACAAGACAGTGTGATGCTGCAGCCACCCGAAACATCCGAAAAGAAAGAACAAAAAACACAGCTCAGCGCCATGCTTTCAAGTGGCAAAGCCTACCACCGACCCAGCCATGCTTTCAGGATCAGGAGGAAAGAAGAAGAAGAAGTCGCAGAAGGAGGTCCCATGCTTTATCATGTTTGTTTGCTGGAATAAATATACACATGTTTCTTGCCTTCCATCGTATTGCAGTTGTTACATATGCACATAAGTGTATAAGATAGAAATGAAAATGAGATCTGGTATACACAGATATTCTCTTCAGTGCTGGTCAGAGGGCTTCACATGGTACAAAACCGAAGCCTGGAAGTCACTTCGCAGCCCTGTGTTGTTTTAGGGTGGGTGGGTGAGCCGGGTCGGGTGGGCAAGGGTGGGGTTTACGGCTTAGGGGCCTTTCTCACCCTAAACCCTAAACCCTGAACCCTAAACCCTAAACCCTAACTTTAGGTGAGGTTGGGGAGGGCCTTGCCCTTGTCCTGCAAAGCCACGAAGAACCGAAGACCTTCAGCACAACTTTTGAATGCGAAGTTGGCGCCTTGCCAGAAGCTGCTGGAGCCGCGCAAGTCCTTCTTCCGCGACTTCTTTCGAAGCTTGAAGGACGGAGCTGTTTGTCTGGAGGCGTTATCAAGCATCTCTGCAGTGCAGGAGGGGGACGAACTGCCGGAGGACGCTTGCTTTAGCAACATGAGGGCTTTGAAAACTGAACTTCGGAGGTCACTGTCCCGAGAAGTTGTGAATGTTCCAGTGAGGGTTCAGCACAGAGGATGTTGACACTCAGCAGCTCTGCATGCAAATGGGCGATGACGAGATGGAGGAGGCGCGGATGCTGGAAGCGACATGAGGCGACACAAGCCAGACCCTAAACCCTAAACCCTACACCCAAACCCTAAACCCTAAACCCTAAACCCTAAACCCTAAACCCTAAACCCTAAACCCTAAACCCTAAACCCTAAACCCTAAACCCTACCCCTAAACCCTAAACCACGGAGGAAGAGATGGTTGAGGCACTGCTGGAGAATGCTTACGACTGTGGCATGGCGCTGCGCACCTGGGCCTCGGATGCGCCTGTGGTGTTTGGGGTTTAGAGCTTAGGGCTTAGGGCTTAGGGTTTAGGGTTTAGGGTTTAGGGTGTAGGACTTAGGGTTTCGGGTTCCATGTTTCCAGTGCCTTCCAGACACCTAAGGCACTCAGATAATCCCATACGCAGTTCGCTGGTATACGGGTGAAGCGGCGCCCGATGACGAGTACGATGATGAGGCTGGGAACCGTGTCTGGTAACGGTGCTCCTCTGTGCCCCTGGTTCTTAGTAGGGAATGAGGGAATGAGGGAATGAGGGCCTTATATGTGCCCGCTAAGGGATTATTCCAGGCCCTCATTCCCTTATTCCCTACTAAGAACTAGCCCCTTTGTTCGGGTGAGCATACAGAACAAGTTGTCAAGCAATGCAGCTGGAAGACTGTCAAGCCAAGCCACAGACAGGAAGAGGAGGAGGAAGAGGAAGACCAGGACGAGGAGTTGGAGGACGAGGAGGACCTCAAGCGCGGGGGTTTAGGGTTTAGGGTTTAGGGTTTAGGGTTTAGGGTTTTGGTTGTAGCCAGCCTCTGTAATCGCCCCTTGCAGAATGGTGGCCTGCCTCGACCTTGCTTCAGGAGGCAGGCAAAAAAGGAAAAGGAGGCAAGAAGAAGGCGCAAGTTGCGTGCCAATGATGCCACAAAGCGAATGTCACGAAAGAAGCTGCTGAAGAAGCCTTGGGAGAGTTTTGATTCAGAAGACACAGCTCTCTGCTGGAAACGTTTTCTGGCAGCCACCCCTCCCACCCCCTGAGCCTCTAAGTGGCTTCTCCCGGCTTGGGTGACCATTGGCTACAGGCGCCCTGTATCAAATTCATTGCTAGAAGGACATTGTCAGCGACGGGGTTTACGATTTTTTGCTGGGAGCTTTCAGGCAGAGGCGCCGCAGGAATGCAAGCAGCAGTGAGCAATGGCGACCGGGAGCTCAGCTTGGTGCTTCGAATATTCTTGAATGGTGTTTCTCATACTCCTCATTCAGGAACGAGACATGGCCAGTTGAAGTTTGTCAGCCGTGGTTTCGGGTTGAACAGGGAGTTCCACGCAGCAGCGTTCTGAGCAGTTTGGGTGGCATGTGGCTGCGGGTGGCTTCGATGTACTTATGTCTTGACGGTATCTAGACATCTGCAGCCACGTGCTTATCTTCCCTGCTTGTCAGCAGCGCTGCAATTCGTGAGACCAATATCTTTCTATTTGGTGATCCATCCCGGTACCTGCTTCATTCATCCTGTACCCTACGCTGCATACGTTTGCAGTGGGCATGGCTTCGTGATCCGCAGTTGTCGGAGTTTCACCAGGATGCAATCAAGTTCCCATGCTGTCCGCATTCGTGGTTTGGGAACGCCGAAATAGAGCCCATGTTGCTGCAGGCACGGAGGAGTAGATCAGAAGCTGCTAAGGCATGCTTGTTGAACCTACGTGCTGGCTCGAGACGTTTCCCGTGGTTGATATGTGAAAGGTTGGCGAGACCATGGGACGGATTGGCAAGCTTCCTTGTGTTGCCTTGGCCGGCGCTCTTCTCTTTGGGGTGGTCGGCATCTCGCAGGAGGCTTTCGCCGTCCTGGTCCCAAGAAGCGCACCTTGCGTTGGGGGCCTGGCAAGTGCAGATCAAGGCAGAACCCAGCAGAGCAACTAGGACCGGGAGTAGGCCCTTTCTTCCGTTTTTTGGGGTTGGGGTACCCTTATAATCCCCTTCAAACCAAAAAAGGGTACCCTTTGTGTTTTTAGGTCGCTCCCGGGTCTAGGCAAAAGCAGCTCTTTGGCAAGCAGTGCCGCTGGCGTCTCTGGCATTGCCGCCATCCTCGGTGCCGTCGCGGCTCGCAGGTCGCAGCCGGCCCAGCAGCGGGAAGGCCAAGGCAGAGCCCAGAGAATTCAGAGGACCGCCGTTAGGGTTGGTTAGGGTTTGGGGTTTGGGGTTTAGGGTTTAGGGTTTAGGGTTTAGGGTTTAGGGTTTAGGGTTTAGGGTTTAGGGTTTAGGGTTTAGAGTTCATGTCAGAGGACCGCTGATGTGTCTGGGGGCAGCCTCGAGCTCTTCTCGCCGGCGAAGGTGAACCTCTTCCTGCGAATCATCCGCCGCCGGCCCGACGGCTTTCACGACCTCGCGTCGCTCTTCCACACAGTGGCCTTTGGTGACAAGCTGGTGCTTGAGGCACAGATTTGCTTGGTAGCCCAGTGGTACCCAAAAGCCCTCTTTTTTGGGGGCTTTTGGGTTCCGCACTCCCTTTCAAAAAGCAGCCAACCCCAAAAAGGGGCTACCAAGCCCCTACCCACACTTAGTGTGCACTAGTATTGCTGTGCCCCTAAGCCCTATAAGCCCCTGAACCCGTCGTCTCTTGGTTTCCCCGTCTTGAGTTCGAGGTTCGGGAAAGCCTGCCCCCTCTCAGAATTTTCGCGGAGACGCCGTGAAGAGGGTTGAGGGTTTATGGTTTCGGGTTTAGGGTTTAGGGTTGGTTTTGCTGTGTTTGATCCCATGGATCATGGAAGGTTTTGCCGGAAGATGCGGAGCATGATCGGCTGGAGTGCAACCTACCGGGCGTGCGCGGCACCTTACGTGCGACAGCGATGCTTCTGTGTACTTCTGTCCGTTGGTCCGTGCTGAGGCCTGTAGATGACTCCAACCTTGTCATCCGAGCGTTGAAGTGTGATCCCCAGAGTCAAGTCGGCATCGGAGGCGTGGGTTGCACGCGTTTCAGATGCAGGCTGTTCCGCGAGAAGAGTGGTGTTCAGCGCTTCTTCGGTGTAAAGCTGGAGAAGGAGATCCCAGCACAGGCGCCAGAAAAAGAGTGGCACTCAAAAATATGAAAAAACAGGCCCTAACCCTAAGGGTCCATGTACCCATGTAGTATATGTTTGGGCCCTAAAGCTACGATATGGAAACCCCTTTAAGGCCCAAGTAAATACTAAGCCCTAACCCCTAAACCCTAAACCCTAAACCCTAAACCCTAAACCCTAAACCCTAAACCCTAAACCCTAAACCCTAATACTATATAGGTACATGGACCCTTAGGGTAAAGAAAGGCCCTCAAGTCTTTGAGATGTTGAAGGCTGGCATGGGTGGTGGAAGCAGCAATGCAGCTGCCGCCTTTTTTGGAGCATCCCTGAGATGGTTTAGGGTTTAGGTTTTTAGGGTTTAGGGTTTAGGGTTTAGGGTTTAGGGTTTAGGGTTTAGGGTTTAGGGTTTAGGGTTTAGGGATACTACCTCTAAGCACAGTCGACCCATGGGATATTGCCTCCAGAGAGACTTCCCATCTGTTCAGCGCCCAGGCGCCAATCAGTTGTGCGGCTGTCCAGCCACACCAGAGGCATCGTTGGCTAAAGCAGAAGCGTGCTTGCTGAGCCTCCGGAGCCCTTGCAGGACTTGATAAGTTGGGGCGACGATCCAGTGATTGGATCCGTGCGGTTCTGAGGTTGCGCAGCCTTTTTGCAGCCTCAGAACCTGCATCTACACGCTGCCTGTTTCTAATTGCACACAGCATGTGTTCTAAACGCCGAGTATGGCCTTTGAAGCCTCAGATCGTCCAACCGCCCAGGATGCAACTTTCTTCCTCTCGGAAGGCACGAGAAGCTTTCATCTTACAGCAATTTGTCACACATATTTCTTTGACATGCAGTCTGGCAGGCACGGCCTACTGCACCGGAAGAGGTGAGATTGTGACGCTGCTTTGGCCGGATTGTACTTCTTCCATCTGCACAGCGCTTGCTTCGCACTTCACGTTGGCAGTCCTACGCACGCCACTGAGGCCAATCGAAGGTCTTCCTATCAAGGATGGCCTGAGCGTGTATCTGGCAGATGCCCCTGGTGAAAGTGTGCGATTGTTTGGTTGCAGACTCTGGCCATGATCGGCTAAGCACAGGTCAAGCCCAACTATGGCCTTTCCACGGGGAAAGTCTTCAAGGCTGGGCAGGTCCTTCTGCGGCTGGTAGCCGACAAGAGAGTGCTGGGGTTCAGGCCATGGACCTCTCAGCGTTAAGCACGGAAGACCCAGAGGACTGAAGCCGCCACGGATGTCGGTGCGGATAGAAATCGCAGCTGCTGCAAGCGTCTGAACTTGTCTGAGCTTGGATTCACTGCAAGACCATGAAGGAGCTTCTGCAGACCTTCAAAGATAAGGCGTCCCACTGCGGTTGGCCATGTTGGCTTGGATGAAGCTACCCCTAAACCCTAAACCCTAAACCCTAAACCCTAAACCCTAAACCCGCCCACCACCCCTCTCCTTCTGTAGGTAGGTGGGCGCTGTCGAGCGATCAGCGAAACCTTGGCAGGCTCTGCTGGGCTGCAGAGCCTGCCAGGCTCACCCCTGAGGGGTCGCCAAGCTAAAGTCGCCCAGCTTGGTCACTGAGTATATTGTATTACCCTAAAGCCTAGCCGGTGGATCCTTTTTAACAGGGGCCCTGGCCCTGGCCCTGGCCCCAGCCCTGGCCCTGGCCCTGGCCCTGGCCCTGGCCCTGGCCCTGGCCCTGGCCCTGCCCTGGCCCTGGCCCTGGCCCTGGCCCTGGCCCTGGCCCTGGCCCTGGCCCTGGCCCTGGCCCTTGGCCCTGGCGCTGGCCCTGGCCCTGGCCCTGGCCCTGGCCCTGGCCCTGGCCCTGGCCCTGGCCCTGGCCCCTGGCCCCTGGCCCTGGCCCTGCCCTGGCCCTGGCCCTGGCCGGGTGCTTTGCGTCAAGTCCATTGTGCCAAGTCCTCTGTGCCAAGTGCATTGGGTGCATCACGCCAAGTGCATTGTTCCATGTGTCAAGTGCATTGTGCCAATGTGCCACGTGCATTCACGGCCAAGTGCATTGTGCTAATGTACTCGTGTGTGTGTGTGCCAACTGCATTATAGTGCCAAGTGCATTGCGTCAAGTCCGTTATGCAATCCATGCCAAGTGCATTGCGCTTGTGTGCCACTGGGCCAAGTGCATTGCGTCAAGGTCACGTGCGTTGAAGTGCATTGTGCTCATGTACTCGTGCGTGCGCCAACTGCATTATAGTGCCAAGTGCATTGCGTCACGTCCGCTGTGCCATCAATGCCAAGCGCATTGCGCTTGTGCGCCACTGGGCCAAGTGCATTGCGTCAAGGTCACGTGCGTTGTGGCAATGTGCTAGTGCATGTGCGAGCCGCATTGTTGTGCCAAGTGTGTTGCGCCAAGTCCATTGCGCCAAGTCCGTTGTGCTAAGTGCACTGTGCCAAGTGCATTAATGTGCTAAGTGCATTGTTCCATGTGCCAAGTGCATTGCGCTAATGCACTTCCAAGTGCATTGCGTCCAAGTGCATTGTGCCAAAGTGCCTTGCGCTCGTGTGCACGTGCCTGTGTCAGGTGCATTGTGCCAAGTGCGTGCCAAGTCCAAGTGCATTGCACCAAAAGGCATTGTGCCATAGTGCCAAGTGCATTGCGCAGGTGCTCTGTGCCAAGTGCGTTGTTCCAGGTGCATTGCGTCAGTGCCAAGTGCATTGCGCCAATGTGCCAAGTGCATTGTGTCAAGGCCAACTGCATTGTGCTAATGTACCCGTGCATGTGCCAACTGCTTCTAGTGCCAAGTGCATTGCGTCAAGTCCGTTGTGCCCAGTGCATTGTGTCAAGGTAAGAGCCGCGTTGCTGTGCCAAGTGTGTTGCACCAAGTCCATTGCGCCAAGTCCGTTGTGCTAAGTGCACTGTGCCAAGTGCATTGCGCTAAGTGCATTGTCCCATGTGCCAAGTGCATCGTGCCAAGTGCATTGTTCCAAGTGTATTGCGCCCAAGTGCATTGTGCCAAGTGCGTGCCAAGTCCATGCTCTGTGCCAAGTGCATTGTTCCAGGCGTGCATTGTGCCAAGTGCATTGCGCAAAAGGGCATTATGCCGAAAGGCCTTCTGTCAAGTGCATTGTGCTGCGTGTGCCAACTGCAGTATAGTGCCAAGTGCATTGCGCAAGTGCTCTGTGCCAAGTGCATTGTGCCAAAGGGCATCGTGCCAAGCGCCTTGTGCCAAGTGCATTGCGCCAGCTGTGTTGTGCCGAGTGCATTGTGTCAAGGCCGTTGCGCGCAAATGCCCCAAGCACTCGCAGTGTTTTATCTTAGTGTCTTATCTTGGTGTCCTCTAAACATGTTCGAGGTGTGAAATCTGAAACATTCGCAGTGTTCTGTCTTAGTGTCCTCTAAACATGTTCGAGATATGAAAATTGAATGGCTGGCTTGGCTTTGGCTGGCTCCGGCTTGGTTCCGTGATGAGTAGTGTTTGGGTGGCCTCGGGGTGGGCATGTCTTCATACTATTGCGTTCAGCTGACCAATGCTACACCCTAAACCCTAAACCCTAAACCCTAAACCCTAAACCCTAGACCCTAGACCCCAAACCCTAAACCCTAAACCCTAAACCACACATTGTTGACCTGCAAGGGCACTTCGCACAGCTCCTGGGTGAATGATTTAGAGAAACCGGCCTTCAAAGTCGTGGGCTCAGTCCGGGCAGGACACTTCACTTGTGGACCTATGTGGGTGGTTGTCAAAATTATGATCCCTTTTCGGGTGCCCTAAATATTAGGTGCCGTATTATAGTAGGGATCCAAGAAGGGACCAGAATTTTGACAACCACCCGTGTTCTCCCCTTGTCGAAGGTGTCTCCAGAACTTCGCGATTTAAAAGAATATCTTGCGGGAGATTGGGACTTTGAGGCAGATTGCAAAGCCAGCGGCTGCTTCTGCCTCTGTAGCCCTAAACCCTAAACCCTAAAACCCAAACCCCAAACCCTAAACTGGCCCTAAACCCTAAACCCTAAACCCTAGTCCCTAAACCCTAAACCCTAAACCCTAAACCCCAAACCCTAAACCCTAAACCCTAAACCCTAAACCGTAAACCCTAACCCCTAAACCCTAAACCCCTGAGTCTCCTCCGAGTCGGCGGAGGCTGTTCTTATGTCCGGGTCCGGCAGCACGATCTTCTGCTTGGGTGACCCGAAGGGAGGTGCTGAGGCCTTCGAGGCCGGACTGATGGCAGGATTCTGCATGGCCAGCTCTCTGAAATTTAGGTTTAGGGTTTAGGGTTTAGGGTTCAGGGTTCAGCAGCTCCGGATCGAGCAGATTTACGGCTCGGATATAACACCCACCCACCCAGAGAATCCCATAATTTTAAGAAACTATAAAGTATCTTCATACAAAAGTTGGGGTGGTAACGTGCCTTGCCCACGAGTTTTTGTGCCTTGCCCACGAATTTTTGTGCCTTGCCCACGAATTTTTGTGCCTTGCCCACGAATTTTTGTGCCTTGCCCACGAATTTCGGTGCCTTGCCCACGAATTTCGGTGCCTTGCCCACGAATTTTGGTGCCTTGCCACCAATTTACGTGCCCGAAAATTCGTGGGCAAGGCACAAAATTTCGTGGGCAAAGGCACAAAAATTCGTGGGCAAGGCACAAAATTCGTGGACAAGGCACAAAAATTCGTGGGCAAGGCACATTTTGAGGTTTTAAGCCTTGCCCAAGGGCCCAAAACTCCGAAACGTGCCTTGCCCACGAATTTTTGTGCCTTGCCCACGAATTTTGTGGGGTGGGGGGGGGGGTGAAGGGGGGGGGGGTGAAGGGGGGGGGGGGGGGGGGGTGGGGGGAGGGGGGGGGGGGGGGGGGTGGGGGGGGGGGTGGGGGGGGGGGGGGTGGGGGGGGGGTGGGGGGGGGTGTGGGGGGGGGGGGGTGGGGGGGGGGGGGGGGTGGGGGGGGGGGGGGGGGGTGGGGGGGGGGGGGGGGGTGGGATTTTTGTGCCTTGCCCCACGAATTTTTGTGCCTTGCCCGAATTTTTGTGCCTTGCCCACGAATTTTTGTGCCTTGCCCACGAATTTTTGTGCCTTGCCGACCAATTTTTGTGCCTTGCCCACGAATTTTTGTGCCTTGCCCACGAATTTTTGTGCCTTGCCCACGAATTTTGGTGCCTTGCCCACCAATTTTTGTGCCTTGCCACCAATTCACCTGCCCGAAAATTCGTGGGCAAGGCGCAAAATTTCGTGGGCAAAGGCACAAATATTCGTGGGCAAGGCACAAAATTCGTGGACAAGGCACAAAAATTCGTGGGCAAGGCACATTTTGGGGTTTTAAGCCTTGCCCAAGGGCCCAAAAATCCGAAATGTGCCTTGTCCACGAATTTTTGTGCCTTGTCCACGAATTTTTGTGCCTTGCCCACGAATTTTTGTGCCTTGCCCACGAATTTTTGTGCCTTCGTCCACGAAACCCATTAGGGTTTATATATATATATATATATATATATATATAGAAAGAGAGGTTTAGGGCTTAGGGTTTGGGGTTTAGGGTTTAGGGTGGTCCCTTTTGGGGCTATTATTACAAGGCGGCCCCGAATGTTGAGGGTACCTCAAAGGGGACCATCGTGTCCAGAACTCACCACATGTCTCGAGTATAGATATATCGGTACATACAAATATTTTTGTATGTATATAATTTTACATGTATATACATAACATATGGACATTTACGAATCTGTACATGTATATGTATATATATATATATATATATATATATATACATATATATGTATATATTCATACACATACGGTCACATACGTATTTATATTACTGTTCGTATTGTGAGTTACATGTTTGTTCAAACAGTGGTCTCCTGACTTTCGCAGATGCGTAGGCATCAACAAAGAACAACTTCGACATCGAAGGCATCTGGCGAACGGAGTTCATGCGCAACCTGGTAGCAATAGCGGTGTAGGGTTTCGGGTTAGAGGGTTGTGGGCGCGGCCACTTGCTCTGAGATGTTGTGGGCATACAGCTGCATTCTGCCAGCATCGGCTCATGAGGCCGCGCCAGTCCCACGGAATGGTACACAAAGGCGCTTGTGCGTTTTGCGTTGCAGCTGCTGCCATTTCACACCCAGTGCTGATGGTTTCAAGCTTTCAGGTGTAGAAGGGGGGACGGGACACCTGAGGCCCGGATCCGGCAATCATTTTCCATGTTTCAACATGTGGGCAACAAGCTCCGGAAAGCGGTTTCTCGACTCCGACCAGCTTGGGAGTGCAAAAACCTTATGGGTGGTTGTCAAAATTCTGGTCCCTTTTTGGATCCTTCCTATAATACGGCACCTAATATTTAGGGTACCCCAAAAGGGATCATAATTTGGACAACCACCCTTATCGCGAGGAGGATGGGTGAGCCAGATGCCTTGATTTGTGTTCTACCGGTGTGCGCAGATTTGAGCTTCAACTGCAAGAATACAGGAAAACCATGCAACAATAACAGTACAGTCGTATCAATGCATAGTATAATCATATAAATGTATAGGATAGTACGATGAGCCTTCGGCATGGGTTCAAGATAGGATCCATATTCAGCAGGCGACCACATCAACCCGACCCACACAGTCGCAAAGGATTCCGGGACTTTCATGACATGACTGAGAACAGTCGTAACGTCTTAGGGTTTGGGGTTGAGGGTTCAGGGTTTCGGGTTTAGGGTGAAGCCCTAAAACCTTAAGGTAGAGTGCCAACGTAATCCACCACGACTTTCATGGGCCCCCACCCGCTCGAAGTTCATGTGGCGGACCTTGTTGCAGCCCCTTAGAGCATCTTGGCTGCGGACATTGGGCATCTCCCGAATTCTGGGTACCCCCGAATGTTTCCCCCCTGAACATGTGATAGTCGTGATTGTCGGAACCCCCACCCAAAAAATGTACTCCTATTTTGGGCAACTTCCATATCACAAGTAGGCCCACGATGTACTCCCCAACGCCTCACGAGGCCAGAGGGGCGTCGCAGACATGCCGGCATGGCCGGTTTCTACAGCATCCCCCATCATCTGCAGAGCAGCAGGCAGCGGGTGGAGGAAGAAAGCGCTTGATTTTGAAACGCACTGCTTGCACAAAGCTCGAATCTGAAGCAGGGGTTCCGAGTGTTTCAACGCGGCTTCTTTGCGTCCAAGTGGCAGAAGAGGCGCGGCCCGCCCACCTCTGACCCGGCTTCCTTCCGATGCGCCCAGATTCTACACGTGGTTTCGTTTTGTCTCATTCGATTCCCGTTTGGAGGGTCCTTCTGTGACTGCAATCGTGAAAAGCCTACCATGGCCAAGGTGATCTTGTCCAAAAGCCTGAAACCCTATAGCCCTGCAACCCTAAAACCCTAAAAACCTCAAACCCCAAACCCTGAAGCCTAAAACTCTGAACGCTAAAGCCCTGAAACCCTAAAGCCCTGAAACCCTAAAACCCTAAACCTTAAACCCTAAACCCCAAACCCTAACCCCGAATCCCTAAAGCCCTGAAACCCTAAAACCCTAAACCCTACACCCTAAACCCTAAAACCGTTAAACCCTAAACCCAAAACCCAGAACCCTAAACCCTAAGCCCTAAACCCTAAACCCTGCAGGCTGGGGCATTTGTTGGAAGGGAGGCGGCGGCCTCCACCTCCTGATGTGCCAGACAAGGATCGCAACACCTGGGTGGAAAAGCTTGGGTTCGGGTTTATAGCGTTTAATGAGGGTTCATGGTTTAGGGTTTTAGGGTTTAGGGTTTAGGGTTCAGGGTGTAGGGTTGAGGGCTTAGGCTAAAAGGACGGTTACGACCAGGAGTGCAGAAACTCTACAGTGACATCCGGTCGAGCGAAAAAAACTACGAGACTCCTAGGTCATTCCAAAATAAGGCCCCCCCAAGCCCGTAAACCGACGAAGGCGACCAGTCCTGCTCCTAAGTTGTAGGTCGGATTGATGCACATAGCATCACAAAAAGACCCTAAGATGGAAAACACAGCGCTGTAGTGTACATCTTGGTTTTGGCTGGGCCTTCCGGTCGCTGCCACGTCATTGCCCTGACCCTCGACCCGCAGGCCTCAGGCCTCAGGCCTCAGCCCTCAACCCTCAACCCTCTGACTCAATCCTAACCCCTAAACCCTAAACCCTAACCCCTAAACCCTTAACCCTCAACCCTAAACTCTAAACCCTAAACCCTAAACCCTAAACCCTAAACCCTCAACCCTAAACCCTAAACCAAATCAGGAGCTCTTGACCAACGGCTTCGGCATCAAGCCTTGCAAGCCGGTCTTGGGCTCCAAACGCACCGGCGTGCTGGACCCTGAGTTGCCATTCGTGCATGGTGTGGTGCTACTTGGAGGTTCATGGTACCTAAGAACCCAATTATCATTGCACTTATAAATCCAATTATGACCATATTAGGGCACTTAAAGGGCTTAGAAGTGGGTTATAAGTACAGTTATGGTTGGGTTATAAGTACCATGAGCCTCCAAGTACTTGGAGGTTCTAAGGGTCCTTGCATGGTCCCTTAATGTGGTCCCTCACCTCCTTTACAGGGTTTAGTTTAGGGTTTTGGGTTTAGGGTTTAGGGTTTAGGGTTTAGGGTTTAGGGTTTAGGGTTTAGGGTCTAGGGTTCTGAAGTATGGGCCCTTGGGGCTTGTAGGGTACCAGGCTAAGGGGCCATGAAACTACCCTTAGAGAGTTTCATGGGTAGCTACAAGTGGGGTGATACGCGCCCAAGAGAAGGTTTTATCTCTTACAGCCCTACTTCTCACCACCTATGAACTTGCAAGTCTGCAGGCTAGGGTTCAAGCAAATCTTAGGCTGGCTTACAAGATTGGCTGCATGTCGTTGTGGGACGAGCCCTGGCTGCATTGGCATGCTCGCTGCAGCTGTTGTGTTGAGATTCGCATGCCCTTTTCAACTCAATGAGCTTTGTTTTTGCGATGCTTTGGCGATGCGTTCTAGCGAGCTGCAGATGGACAGATATGCACATGGCACTGACAAGTCTTTTTGCGTCTTGCCGATCTGAGTGGAAAGGCTACGCTCCGTCCTCGCAACGTAGGCTCATGACGACATGCAGCTGTCCGTTCCGTGGCCCCCCCCCCATTCCCCCCCCCCCCCCCCCCCCCCCCCCCCCCCCCCCCCCCCCCCCCCCCCCCCCCCCCCCCCCCCCCCCCCACCCCCCCCCCACTCCCCCCCCCCCCCCCCACCCCCCCACTCCCCCCCCCCCCCCCCCCCCCCCCCCCCCCCCCCCCCCCCCCCCCCCCCCCCCCCCCCCCCCCCCCCCCCCCCCCCCCCCCCCCCCCCCCCCCCCCCCCCACCCTCCCCCCCCCCCCCCCCCCCCCCCCCCCCCCCCCCCCCCCCCTTGGTTGATGTCAACATCATTCTTGGCTCTTGGTGGCAGTTCACATAGGCAGCTACATAGTACTGAGTTTATCCCTCAACAAAGGCAGGCCGTGGTCTTTAACGTTTACACGTGCAGACACATCACACGGATATGTTTGGAAATGCATTAATTGCGGCCTCTTCTGCACAACTTAACGCACAGTACGACGCGCCTTAAGCACAGAATGTGTCCTCGAGAGGTCAATCTTGCCCATGCTCTTGAACAAGTTCATGTCTCGTGTCTGGCAGGAATCCAAACGCAACTAACAGCAGAATCTGGACAAGCTACGCGACAGACCATGCAAGTTAACAACGAAGCGAATGCACCGCGGACAAAGCAAACACACGTGAATCTTGCACTCTGGCGCCAGGCACTACAGCAAGAACTGCCCGCAAGAACTGCCCACTTCTGCGCAAGTTGAAGTTGCGGATCTGTGCAGTTCTGGCCCCGTTCGGAACCTGCCGGAAAGTCTTTGGAACCACTCAGACCGTTCTGGGAAGTCCTAATCCCATCTGCAAACACCCTCCCCTAAACCCTAAACCCTAAACCCTAAACCCTAAATCCTAAACTCGACCACAACCTGCTTCGTGCTTTTTCCCAGGAATGGGGTGTCAAGCACATGGTGACGGTCTGTCAGTTGGACCGGCTACATGTCGTGCCCAACTCCCAGCTGTGTACTGGATCGCATCTCAGCGGCAAGAGATGGCAGATGTTCCAGGCAAAGCATGACGTTGCAGAAGAATGGCTACGAGGACCGGGACAAAATACAACGCTCTAGTACATGGTAGTGCGTTTGGCTATGAGGACCGGGATACAATACTATAGTACATTCGTCGAATCATCTAAGAATATAGTACATTAATCTAATACTATAGTCCATTAGTCGAATAGTAAGTTCCCCAGCTCTTCGCGAGGCCCTTCAACTTGGGCTCGGCTATCGATCGATTCATCGCCTAACCCGGCCAGCCGGGTTCCCGGAGGGCTCACTCACTCACTCACTCACTCACTCACTCACTCTCTCTTTCTCTCTCGCTTTCTCTCTTTTTCTCTATTTTTCCCTCTTGCTCGCTCTCTTGCTCTCCCCTGCCGCTTTGCCTTTGCTGAAGGGCCTGTTGCCAAGGGCCGGGAAACTCGCGACCAAGTGAGTCTGTATTACATCCCCAGACATTTCCAGGTTCAGCCGGAGGGTTCAGTTACAGGGTTTCGGGTTTAGGGTTAGGGGGGTTTAGGGTTTAGGGTTTGGGGTTTAGGGTGTGGGGTTTGGGATTTAAGGTGGAGGGTTTAGCGGTTTAGGGTCTAGGCTAGGGTTTAGGCAGTGTAGCCTATCTCTCGAGGCCAAAGCGGCTACAGCTTAAACGGTAAGCCCTAAACCCTCAGACTCTCCTAACACACGGTGCAGTAACCCTAAACCCTAAACCCTAAACCCTAAACCCTAAACCCTAAACCCTAAACCCTAAACCCTAAACCATAAACCCTAAACCTAAACCCTACACCCTAAACCCTAAACCCTAAACCCTAAATCCTAAACCCTAAACCCGAAACCCGCTTGGAGCGGCTCAG